CACCCCATGGTGGCGATGTGACTATAACGTCACCCTTAATCTGATTTGCCAGTTTGAAAAAGTCTCCAACAACGAACTCGATTTTTTCAACTCCATAAATCCGGGCATTTTGCTTTGCCATCATAATCTTGTCTTCGTCAATATCTACAGCAATAACTATTACAAACAGAAAATATTACAATTATTAGAAATTGCAGATAACAGGTACTTAATATATCTTAACATAATATTATAAAACAAAGTCCCTTTTTTTCTCTGAATTCTTAGATCTTTAAAAAACTACGAAACGGATTTGGATGCGGTTTTTATTAACTGATAGAGTGATTCAAGAGGAAGGTTCATATTATGTATATAATACATGCATATATTGTAGAGAAACACTGTACCTTATTTTCTTTACGTACGAGCATATCTCGAAAAGAACTCTACTTATTTTTATACGGTTTTCACTAATAAATCGGTTGAGTTACGGGAAAGGTTTTAAAAAAGTCAATAAAAGCTATTTCAATAGATTATTACTTGAAAATTGGAGGGTGTATAGAGCTTGATTTTTCGACTCATATAGGCTGTAGATAGGTAAAGGGTAGCGCACACATGATTTTTTTTTAGTATACGAAAAAATAAATTATTTTTGTCAATCTAAATGGTTGCACAATTTGTTAAATTTTTTATTAATATTATAATTAGAAGAAATATGGTATAATATACATTTCGATGCACAACTCGGCTAGTTTCCTAAAGTTTTCTCTTTCATACGGTATATTGAAAACTTTAAGTAGGTAGGTATTTACATAAAACAGATAAAACGGAAAAAAATTAATTACTTAATATCAATTAAATAACAAAAAAAAATCTAATTTATATTAAACTAATACAAAAAAAAAAAAAACAACTGAATACTCTGCAATAGAGAATGAAAAATATTTGAGGGTTTCAAAGAGCAAGCTCAGCTTTATATGATAAGATAGCGTATAAGCTTGGCTTGGCGTCTAAGAAGGAAGTGTCACGATTTCATGTTTGTTGATTCCTTCCATATTAAAAACACACCATTGGAAACAAACATAACTTTCATTATGGAAATTTATGAAATTAAATGAAATGAAATGAAATAAATAAATAATACTTAATTTAAATAATTATTAACATTGTTTTTAATGTAAAATTGAGTATATTATTATTCTGTAAATTAAAATCATAATTTAATAAATCCATTGCCACATATTATAATATTGACGAGCAATGAGTACTGACATATAAAATAATATACATTTTCAAAAGATCTGTCTAGAGAAATGACATTTTATATTTATACGTTTACTGGCATTACTGCCTATGTGTATTTTTTTATGTGGTTTTGCTTATAAACAATATAAACTAACCTTCTAGGTTTTGGCTACTCGCCGTTGGTGTCTTGAACTTGGTGTCTTGAGCTCCTCACTCGTGAGTATCCTTATCTCCATCTGGTGCATTTTTCCATGACGTTTGCGCATTTCCCGTGGTTACCGATAACGACTTGTGGGACGAACCACTCCCACCCGCCGGCTCCATCATGTTTATTGTGTTTTTAGCTTGCCTGCCACTGACGACGCCAGCCTCGCGTCGTCTGTCTTTTTTCCGTCCGTGTTGCCTAATCTTCCTGGACGCCGGGGGTCGATTGTTTCCCCGGCGTTGAGCTTGTCCGCGACTGCTTATTCGTCCACCCCAAAGGCATGGCTTATTTCGCGGCTACCCTGTATATCTACAGTACGTTCCCCTATCCGCAACCTGGGGACGCGTCCGATGGCATGCTCAGGCCACGGAGCACACCATACCCTAGGCCGCTAACAATTGTACCCGGTTTCGGACGCGAAACCCACAGACAATTTTATCCTTTTTTGAACGCAAAACCCGTAACCCGCGCCCAACTTACCCACCTATGCACCCCATACTTCTGCATCCGAGTCGCGGTCGATGACGATTTTTAAGATAAGCACATATAACAGTTGCGGTCAGGCCGATTGTAGGTAATATAATCTTAGTTGCAGTCATATTGTATATATGTGGGGGCACTACTATTTATCTGTAAAGCTTATATATAAAATAGATAAAATTGTATAGTCCAACCGTAGTTTTGAATATTGCATTCAGTATGCCTAAGTTTTTCGACGCAGTAAAAATGAGTTTGAACAATAATATGTTGGGTGAAAAATTAAAACCACTACGGATTGTAAAAGGATATAAATTTCGCTACTATCGTACATTATAATAATAATAAAATGTTATTTAACAGCATACATTTACAATGGTTAAATAGACAATATAAAGACAAAGTTGCAACTCATCCTATAATCAAATAAGCTTGAATGCGGATGAGTTGAGTTCTATATTAAGGTATAACAAACGTGCATAATATAGATAAAATTAAAAATAAAAGTTAAAAATTAATTATTCCATCTTACAAAAACAGTAATCTAAGATAGAACACTAATAACATGATTTTTATATTGATTAAAATTAATAAATGAAAAATATTTATATTATATGCTCGTAATAATAAGACACCTTTAAGAATAGTGCTTTGATTACCAAAATTAGTTTTATTGTGAGGAATATTTAGGTTGTTATTATTTTTTAGTCTTGTATGGTAATCATTGGATGGTTGATAATTCTTAATTAAGTTTTTAATTTTATACATATACAATAAAGTTTGACGTTCATATGATATCCTAAAGGGTTGAACATTAAGAATTGTAAATATTAAATCTGAATTAAAAAATCTAGTTTTATTTAAAATAACTTTTATTAAAGATTTTATAGTTGTACATAATACATTATATGACTGGAGTATGTACATCCCCAGACCAAAGAGCCATATAAATAAATTGATTGTGCTAAAACTAAGAAAACTACCCTTAAGGTTTTTAGATCTAATGTAAAAAACATGTAATGCAGCTATAAAATATGATGTTTACGGTGCCATTTGTGAACAGACTACAACACATTATCATGAACCAGATGAACACAAAACAATATTTCCTATGGCAAAAGGTTAGTAATAGTGTTAAACGTAAGGCAGTGGAGCAGTTGAGCGAGAGTCCCCCAAAATTATTCATTCTGAGATGTCGAGTACAGTAATCAGTGTACTGGACTCAAATGACGTCACACTGATTAGAAAAAATATATACACTGCACGAATGAATGTTATTTATAATTTATATTATTTATTATTATTAATAACGTGACATTTCAGAATTAAAATGCGAACCAAAAATAATAAAAATTGGATTTTTATAAACGATGTTCAGAACAATATAATATGTCTTACGACTCAGATGGAACCTTTATTTTTTCAAACAATGTGATTCAATTTTTATGGACGAATGCCGTGAAAGTTAAAACCTATATTCAATGAAACATTGGATATTTATTTAATTTTATCATACTTTAAATCAGGGCTTGAAACCGCTCCTGAAGAAATAGGTTACCGAAAATTTTTTGGAACCGGTTACCGGTTATCGAGGTTTTTAGAAATAATGATAATCATTTCCCGCTTACCGAAATAAATTGTATAAATGTGATGACTGGTTATCTATTTGGAAGCGGTTTTAAATCTTCAAAATTACCGGTTACCTCACAAAAACGTTTTTTTTTTTTTTTGTTTGTTTTAATACCTACTCTATTTTTTTTCATCAAACTTTAACATGTCATTTTATGATTTTTGAAACTATTCATGCATTTTGTTGTGCTATGACTCGAGATAAGAAGAGGCGTAAAAAAAAGATTAAAAACAACAACTACATAAAAGTAGTATAGGTATCTATATCTATTGTTCTTCTTTAAGATACATAAAAACTTAAAAATATAAAATAAATGATAACAGTTTTATAATTATGAAAAAAAATTAAAATACAAAACATTTTATCAAGTAAACAAGTTCAAACTTAGTACTTGAAAAACTCCAAACAATAAACAAAAAAAATAGTCTGTGTAGTCTATACTCTATAGTGTATCACTGTATAGTTTTATTGTTAAGAGGACGCCACACGGGCAAACGAAACCATGCAATGACCAAGAGAATGCGCTGTTAGGTGTTTTCGTGATCCGCAAGCACGCGACGTTTAAGCCGCGCCCACTACTCACAGCCGCGTACCGACCGACGCGTTGTCGAGTTCGGGAGCGTTGTTTATTATCTTATGAACGTTCGTCCGTGACATATCCCGTCGAAATAAAATTCATACACGTAAATGCATTGCCGCCATATTCGCTCTTATACCTACACGGCTACACTAACCATCTTTTAATTAAAGCCGCTGTCAGCCCAAATGCCCAATTGTATACCTATTTGTATATAACAATATTATGTTGGCTAGAAAATCTAGTTTTTACCGTACAAATTGTTGTACAAACATTTTAAGTATTCGAGTTAACAATATTTTACGTACAATAACTTAAGATTTGCATTTAGTTTGTAAAAATATCAATATAGACATACCAAATACCAATTATGTATTTAATTTTTATCTTACTAATATTTTCGTATGTATTACCATAATACCGTTGATTATAATAAATATTATTATTTTTATTATTCAATGACAATAATATAACATTGACGCTAAACCAGCGAAAATACCGTACAAAAACATTCCAATTTTGTTCCAATAATACGCCTGAGTAAATGGTTTTAGAGCAAAATACCTCAATTAAAAGTTGTAGAGGAGTTATATCGGGTGACGTATAAGACTCGATTTTTGATATTTTAATTTTTTTATACCAATTATTCATAAGTAAAAAAGTGAAAATAACTGAAAACGATTTTATCGATTTTGAGAATGAAATATTGAAAATCGATTCTTATACGTCACCCTGTATAACATTTCTTCTTACATTTTAATCAGCCATAAATAAACTACTTGAATTTGATTTACACTTACTGAGTTGCAATCTAAGAAATTAAAAAATAAAAAACCATTCAACTTGTATAAATTATATTCAAATATTTTATTAATTTTTTTTTATAATCATTTTTTTTTTATGTGATCTGGTTCTCGAATATCTGATTTCAGCATTCTTTTAGGGAATTGTGGATCAATAATTTCGGGTAATAAAGACTTCATATAAAACCTTAAAGTATAAAATATAATATGTTGATAAAATAGATAAAATATAATATAAATATATTATAGGTAAAATAGATAAATCATGATTCACTAGTAATCGTGACTCGTGTATTCGTGTGAAAGATTATCTAATTACTCAGAGTGTACAAATTATTAAAAAAAAAAGGACTCACGTTTGTAGCGGTTCAGACATTTTAGAATCCCAAAAGTATTCGACCAGTACGGTGGGATTTTTAGATTCTGAGTGAAACGATGAATGTATTGATTTTACAATGATGTGTGTTTATTTATTTTTTTTGTGTCTGTGTACAGTGTACACGATAAGTAGTCGAAATAATTCTTCGATTTTCGACTTCAGTATCTTGTTCGATTGGAAAGTGAATATCGTTGGTGCATTGGGGAGGTCAAAATTTAAAATTCCCAGTACTTTTCAAAAGCGCCAAGAAAAACAAAAGAAAAATTAAGGAAAAACTGGAATTTTTACGCAAAATCGATTTTTCAGAAAATTGAATTTGGTTTTTGGTGTAACTTTAAAACAAATGACCGTAGATACATGAAATTTTCACTGGTTGTTTATATTTGCATTTTCTATACACGATAACATTTTCAAAATATTTTGATTTATTTTGAACTGTTTAGGGACATTTTTATTTTTCATTTTTTTTTAGTTTTTATTTCTAGAAATATCAATAAAATTTTATTTGTTGTTTAAAAAAACTTGAAAATTTAATAGAAGGCTCCAAGTATATTGTTTCAAAGGCAGATGAAAAATATTAAAAATCCTTAGTCACAGTTTTTTTTATAAGTATTTAAAGTTCAAAAATTGACAAAATATGGAAAAATCACGAAAATTAGCAAATTATTTTGAGTTAAGAATTCGTAAAAATTTTTCTTTTTAAATCTAAGATTTGAAAATCTAATACAAGATTACTCATGAGTTTTTCTACCTTTATCAATAAAAAAATCTCTACCGGAAAGTCAAATTAAATTTTTATGAGCGTTTGAAATTCAAATTTTTACAACATTGGATATTCACTTGATTTCTCATGTAGCGATTTCCTTATTTTGTTGTAATTCAAAAACGAATAACTATAGATACATGATAATTTTACTGAATGTTCAGATTAGCATTTCCTATACACTGTACAATTTTGAAAATATTTCGACTCTCTTTGAGCTGTTTACGGACATTTTCAGTTTTCAATTTTTTTAGTTTTTTTTTCTATAAATATCAATTAAGTTTTATCTGTTAGGCCAAAAAGTGTAAAAATTTAATACAAGGCTCCTGATATATTGTTACACTAGAAATTGAAAAATATTAAAAATACATAGGCACAATTTTTTTTTATAAGCATTTAAAGATTGAATTTTGATTTGAATTGACAGATTTATTTTTTCTTTAAAATTTCCTCTTTGCCTTATAGAAAATGTCAACGTTTATTACATATTACCGATTTACATTCCAATAAATGAACATGGTCAATTTCTCCATATGACTAAAAATTCTATGTATTTGTTAATGGACAAAATAATGACCAAATATTTTATTTGGCCAGATTTAAATAACTGTAAAGTACCTAGTGGATAAAATATTTGTTTGTGGATTTAATGAAATTATACATAATTGTGACACGGACCCCACATGTGTAACAGAAATCAGAATTACTAAAAAATTCTGTAACTAAACCACCTCAATGTGATACTTATATCTCTGAATTCAAAACAGAAATGTGGTATCCCTCATTTTTCAAAAATCATTGGTTTTTTGTATGTGAAAAACCCACTACAATTACTATAATTTGTAATAAACAGTCTTTCACTCAAAAAATTAAAATTAAAAGTTTTGGAAAGTTATACTTGAAGTCTGGGTGTATTGCTGCTTACACCTCGAAAGGTGTACTAAAAACTGAACAAGTATTAAATCAAACATCATATTTCTCAGTTCCAGTAGACTTATCTCTTACGAATGATTCATGCTGTAATGTATTCAATTTTTCAAATCAGGAATATCCCAAACCGATTCACTTCGATGAAATAAAATATATAAAATTTAATAAAAAAGCGTTCAATAAAATAAATAAACAATTAGACCAACAAGATATGTTACTAAATTCGCTTATTGCAGATAAAACGTATGGATTTATATACACAAACAAATATTTAGTTGTCATAATAATAGTTTTTTTATTATATTTTATAGCAAAATGTTATTTAAATAGGAAAGCAAAAAAATCAGCTATAGAAAACATTAATTTAAGTTATAATCCTCCCAAGTTCTAAAAATTAATTTAGCAAAGGTTCTTAGTACGTATTTATATACCTAATATTATGTATTTTTATATTATATTATTATATAATTGTCCACAACATTTATATTATTTTTTCGGAAGTCAATAATTAGCAGTGGCGTATTTACGGGGGGGGGGTCCATGGGGTCCGGACCCCCCCCCATTGACTCGTGTCTCGTACATGTTAAATGTTGTGCAGTTTTTACATGATTAAAAAACAAATTTTATCATACTATTTTACGGATTTTATAAAAAATTTTCGAAGCTATAGTTATATCAACATTTTCAATAAATATCTTGATTATTTTTATCAGTTGGATACCGAAAATGGTTGAAAAATACCAAGTTCATTTTTTAATTCAAATATTTTGTAGTTTTTTACATTGCCAGTATCTACAACCACTCCAGAGAGATCTTTTTCAAACTTTTTAAGGTTGAAAAGCTATCTAAGATCAACTATGAATGAAGTAGGTACCTAATGTAATTAAAAAAATATTTGTATAAAAGTTATAACATAACTATATATTCGATTCTGAGTTATCACTTATCTATCGGTTTTACAATGGTGTTTATTTATTTTTCCTGTATACAAAATTTCTTCCAGAAATAGTGCTTCGATTACAACATGTATAGACATATAGTAACTTATATTTTAGAAAATTGGATCAATATAGTACTTTAGAGAGGTCATTTTTCGATTTTCTCAATAGTTATTTAATGCCACAGTAAAAACCACCAAAAAATTACGAAAAACCGCTAAAAATGGGATTTTAATTTCTAACATGTAACTTTGTCTATCACCATAGAAAAGAATAAAAAAGGTGGGCAAGTGGGTGTCACTCTGCTGTACAGTAGGTTACAAGTGGGTCACTGTATAATGGATGATATTAAATTTGAATTCAACGATATAATATCATTGTATAAGAAAAACGATTCTGAGCGGAGACGGTATGTCAGTCTATGTATAAGACATATTATATATTTATATACATAATACATATCTATGGTATTAAACAAAAAATTGACCTATAATATTTACCTATAATAAATTCCAAATTAATCATATCACAATATCCATTAGGTACTGGTAACGCGTTATACATCAACAAAAACTGTGATACTATCATAGATATATAATAGTACACTTTAGAAGTTTCAAGTACCCACTAACTAAAATAGTTATTCTAGGTTTTTTAATATGTAATTTCGTCCAAATTTGAATTTAAAATGTCTGTAAAAAATAAGTGTGTTCATATATTTTTTTAGATTTTTTGGTTATAGTATGAACTACTTATGAGAACCTTTGTGTTGAATTTGTAATCCTTAGCTATAAAAACTGAACATTTTATAATTTATTAATTACAATGATTGATAATTTTCGAGATTTTGATAAATTTTGTCAAAATTTGATCTTTAAATGCTTATAATAAAAAAACTGTGCCTATGTATTTTTAATATTTTTCAACTGCTATTGTAACAATATATCAGGAGCCTTGTATTAAATTTTTACACTTTTTGGCCCAACAGATAAAACTTTATTGATATTTATAGAAAAAAAACTAAAAAAAATTGAAAGCTGTAAATGTCCATAAACAGCTCAAAAAGAGTCAAAATATTTTCAAAATTGTATGGTGTATACAAAATACTAATTTAAACATTGAGTGAAATTTTCATGTATCTACAGTTGTTCGTTTTTGAATTGCAACAAAATAAGGAAATCGCTACATGAGTAATCGAGTGAAAATCCAATGTTGTAAAATTTTGAATTTCAAACGCTCATAAAAATTTAATTTGACTGTCCGGTAGAGATTTTTTTATTGATAAAGGTAGATAATCTTATAAGGAATCTTGTGTTTCATTTTCAAATCTTAGATTCAAAAAGAAAAATTTTTACGAATTCTTAACTCAAAATAATTTGCTAATTTTCGTGATTTTTCCATATTTTGTCAATTTTTGAACTTTAAATGCTTATAAAATAAAATTGTGACTAACGATTTTAATATTTTCATCTGCCTTTGAAACAATATACTTGGAGCCTTCTATTAAATTTTCAAGTATTTTTTAACCAACAAATAAAATTTTATTGATATTTTTAGAAAAAAAACTAAAAAAAAATGGAAAAATGAAAATGTCCCTAAACAGTTCAAAATAAATCAAAATATTTTAAAAATGTTATCGTGTAGAGAAAATTCAATTATAAACAACC